CAGTGCTTTCAGAGGTTCGATGGCACAAATTGTTCCATGGGGGTCCTTATAAAAGCACCACCTGGCACTTGGGGTAACTGGTGCCATCGAACCTCTCATGGCCGTAGCGACCAGAGCAGCGCCCGGTTGACCGACCCGGCACACCAGGTGGACGAGATTCGACCGGTGGGTCGGATCATGCAGCGCCGGTCATCACGCCTGACTCAGGCGGTATGGGGCAGGGTCCCGTGGTGGGGTTTAATGGGATTGGACACCCCTTATGGATTCACAAAACGTTTTACTGTATACTTATTGGGTTTATGATGGGTGATGTATATATAGGGTTTACTGTAATATACTAGGGTTCACTGTAATATGTGGGTTTCTGGTATGTTTATATATGGGTTTACTGCAATTAAACATCACTGTATCATTAGCTGTGTTGGTTTTGGGTCTTGCGCCCATACCCAGACAGTCCATCAGACTATATATGCCCACATCGACCCCCCAAACCCACGATGGTGAGAGGGTGACGATCTGATTGGGTTGCTTCATTGGCGGTTGGTCCAGTGGTGCGCATGATGTGCAGAACAGATGATGTGCAGATTGGTTGAAGGTCACTCTCAAGCATCACCATTTGTTGCTACACTCCCTAAAACTAACATGGTTACGTGGATGGCCTGGCCCATTATATGGATGACCATGTTCTACAAACAGGTGGTGAACTCCACGTAACCATGGTAGTTCCAGGGAGAGTACGGTTGGGCTGCAAGGAATGTCTTTGACCTGCAGAACCCTGGCGCGGATCCCGACGTCCACGTGGATCCGGACGTCTCGGACGTCCCGTCGCTTGTTGCGCCGGTTTCCCCATTTCGCCGTTTTCGCCGGTCCCCCAGTGAACTCCTCTCTTGTTTAACCATGACTTAATGGGATGCTTCATGCAGCCTTGATAGATCAGTAGGTACTGTATATATGTAAAGCCTCAATGCTGCAGGGATGCAAGAATGCAGATGATCAAAAGCATGCCTCCAGCCGTGTATGCGCACGAGAATGAATCGGAATCACCGCCCGGCAGGAATCTTACGAACCCCCCAAGCCACTTGTTCAAAAGCTAATGGTTGAGAAAAAAAAAAAACCGCAGGTTCTGCTGCATGTGGTTCCGGTACACTGACTTTCCACGATAGATTCACGTGATGGGATGGGGGAAAGACATCCAAGAGATATCCAAAGGTGGCAGGTGCTCTCCCAGATCGATCCTTCAGGTGGTGGACCGTGGCGGAAGACAATGCTGGGGAGGGTTCTTTGGATGGCAGGACGGTGTCCGGAATCGGCGGAGGAGGTGTTTTTGGAGGTTTTGGGATCCAAGCCAATGAGGTAGGGTCCAACAGAATGGCAGACGTTGCTGAGATTTCAGGTGATTCTTCTAGGGTTTGCATTTTTATGGACTCAACTTGGAGGAGATATTGGGAGGCAAGAATCGGAATTTAGGCCCCTTGCCTTTGGCTTTGGACGAATCGATGCAAACACCTTCCAAGCTCTCTCACACGAGTCCGCCGTCCATGGACCAGTTGTGCTCGGTGTGTTCTTTCGCTGTCGTGGCCTATTTTCGAACTGGCAAAGACCAACGACCAACGTCTTCTTTTCACTGGAGACACCACAGGTGGATAAGACCAACCTTTCAACCAACGTGTTTTGGATTTGGTTTCACCGCTTGGGGTGGACACCCCACCCTGCTGCGGAGGGCCGATCGCCCGAGATCGTGCGCCTGATGCGGGGGGTCATTGATGAGGGATGCCCCATTGAACTAGCTCACGCATTTCATTGTCCTATAGATAAACAATGATAAACATAGCCACCCAGTCATGGGGGTATTCACCACTGAACCGCGAAGAGATGTTAAGATGAGTTTATTCTTTGTAAAACAAATTTGGCACTGGGTCAAAAACAGGGGGACCCTGCTTGAAGAACATTGAACATGACTAGTGACTAGAGTTTTCTCCACCTTCGGGATGTCACTCTTTAATGTTTTGGGGAGGTTTTGACTCACAGCTACGTCTTTTTGGTGTTGATCTTCGGAGATTGTGCATGTGGTGCCATCCAATTTCCTAAGGTCATGGACGCCCAGATCTCAGCTGAACGTTTGTCTCGTTGCGCACATTTTCTCGGCCTGGTAGGTTTGGGAGGTGGGATGTGAGGACAAGTGTTCCCTCTAAGATCCTGTAAGTCTTGGGCTTTGGATCATCATGCCATAGTACTGCATCATAAAGTACATAGAACATAATCGTCATGATGACTGTAAAGATTGTCGCATGGCGCCAGAGTTGGGCTGCAGTCCTCAAATATCCTTTGATGTCTGGAGTTTGTTCCCCTACCAGGGCCCCCTAAGTAAGGGGTTTCCAACAATAGCCCCTTAGGGCTTAAGGATGTCCATTTAACCACCCCTTAGGGGCCCTGGTGCTAGTATGATCAGTGGGTTGGCTTATTATGTTGACTTCCCAGGGAGGCCTGAAACTGGTGGACCAACGTTGGTAGAGGAAGTCCTTGCAACATATTAGTTCAACAAGTTGCCAGGTAGCCAACCAGCAGGTACCCCGGCCGCTTTCCAGCCTACAGTCCAGTCATGTAAGATGGCACTGGACCCCGAAGCAGTGCTTCGTTATGCTTGGTGTTCACCCCTTCATCGCAGTCGACGCCCGCAGGGTCGACCGGCGATGCGACGATGCGACTGGATGGCTGATTGGACCCTGAGGTATCGGAGGTGCTGCAAGGAATTCAGCGACCTCACCTGTGTGGTTTGGTGCCCAGCGCGTGGATAGAGAGTTCCAATCCTAGAGTCGGCAGTCTAGATGGCTTTGAATATACAGTCCGGCACGTCGGCAAGACATGTTCATGCTGGTCATGTGAAGTGGCCAGTGGCGATAGTGGCGGGCTTTTTGGGCTATCCCACAGCCCAGACTGACAGACTATGGGGCAGCCTGTGCACTCCCCGATGTTTCACTGTAGGATCAGGGCTTTGACCGAGAGCTTTGTTGCGGCCGGGCACCGAGAGCGCCAAGCGTGTCATCTCGTGTCATGCTGGGTACCGCGAGCGGGGTACGGCCACCACCGACTTCATGGTAGAAGATCATAGAAGTAGCGTGTTGCGAGCCAAATCTTCATATGTTTCCCACACTTTACTACTTGTTTAGTCTTTTTTATTCCCATAATTTCTAGTGAACAACTTAACTAACAACATAGCTTGACAATGTTTCCTGGCTGCTTGGGCTTCCAGTTCATGTCCTATCACATCCTATGACCTGAGCCCATGGAATTACAGGTGAATGTTGGGAACCAAATTCTATAATTAGTGATACAATGAAAAACCAACTTCAAAGGGCAGAATGCCCCACTATAGAATCAAATATCAACCTATTGTAGTGCTGAGAACCTGTTCCCTAAAAAATGGTTCAGCTCAACCTTTTGAGCAAAGCTATTGTTTTCCTCAAGAATCAATTCTCAGCCTTCTACCTACTTCAAAGTATATAATGCTGTCTTTAAAATCAACACCTACAACCTCTACAAAAATCTGGTGCATGCCTTCTCCAGAAGATGAAATAGCTCAACCTATTGAGCAACATGATAAAAACAACTTGTGAATCCATAGGTTTTAGGCTAGCTTTTTTTCAGGTAGGTTGACATCTCATTCTAGAGACAAATAAAATCTGATGGTCCTTTTGACCTCGACCTCCCAGATTCAGCAGGGGATTATATACCTGCCAGTGCTTCTGGCTTTACGATCCAGAAATGGCTATAGAAACATCTTCATATAGGGATTGCACCTGGCATCTAGTGCAAGTCCAGTGCAAGAGTTGCTTTTTGTTCCACAAGGATCTGCAAGGGCATGGCACGGCGCTAAGGGTGGTGTCAGATTCACACGCATGAATGTGACTCAAAATGTAAGTCCCACAATTGCACCTTGCAACTTTGCGTCATCGTTTTTCTCCATTTGCCACATTTTGCCACCAAAGGGGCTCTTTGAGCGCCTGGATTTGGACGCACCTTCACCCATGGTCCGGTTGCATGGTGCATGGTCGCACGGAGGTTCGACCTGGGAACCGCTGACTGAGGTGTCACTGTGAACCGCTCCAAAACCTGGTGGGGCCTCCAGGAGCTGCACGGCTCGCCGGTCGCCACGGCGAAACCCTCCGCTTTCTTGGTCATCTCCCGCTCCGTGTGGACCATGGGTATATGGGTAGCCGGCTTTTAAGGTTCTTTCGAGTGATGTGTTTTCACCTTGGGAACGAACTTGCACATTCATTCATAATCATTCAATATCATTCATGCAATATATGCGGCGGCCATGGATCAATGAGGAAGGCGCATCGCAAGAGGAGGAGCTGCAGGGCACAAGTCGGTGAAGTGTGTCTCTTCCTGGTCTTCGCCCTGGAAGAATCCATCGGAAGTGGAGTGAAAGCCTCGGAGTGAATCCATCCCTTCATCCATCCCTTGTCATCCATCCCTTGTCATCCTCCAGCTTGGGGAGTGGAGTGAAAGCCTTTTTTTTAATAGGGGGCCGTACCGGGTGGATAAAATCCATGGTGTTTGACCCAAGACTTGATGCCAGTACAACCGGGTATATCTTTTTTGAGGTCTCAGATCCCTCCTTTGGGGAGATGCCACTTTTCAGGTGTGCCTACATGGTGGAACAGGACATGTAGATGTTGTTTTTTTGGGGGGGGAGAGAGCTGACATGCGGAAACAAAAGGGGCATATGACAGTTTACTACACGCTACCCAGATTTGCCCTGGCAACAGAGATATGATTCGTTGTTTGACAACCTCCCAGCCTTTTCAGAGGATGTGGCTCGCAGAACATGTGGCCAACGATCATTACTGAAACTGTAAGTATCCACATGTCCAAGTATCAACCTGCAGACAAGTCCATGAGGACAGAAGCTGTGACAGAGGGGTGACGCAATGAACAGATCCGATGTTGGCAAGGGCCCCAACGATTGCACATCAATTCTGCAGTTTGCTTGCCTACTTGTTTTCGACAGCTTTCAAACGGAGCGGGTGACGGTGTGCCGCCTTCCCATGGCGATGAGGGTGTCGGTGCTCCAAATTGATGGGGAGCATATCGCTCTCGAGGTGATGCCGGACATGACCGTTGGCAATTTCAAGGAGAGGCTGAAAGCTTGGAAGTTTCGTGAAGATGAGGTCATGCGTAGGGTGGCCCGGGTGGAACTCTTAGTTGAGGGTAAGAAGCTGGAGGATGACGAGAAAACATTGATGGATGAAGGGATGTCACCCACACAAACAGTGCAAGTCCTGTTTTCTCTTGATTGGGTGGAATGCCGCAGCAAGCATGAACATGCCGAGCCCAACAAGCTCACTGCAGTGACCATTCCGGACTCGGCAACCTGCATCGCAGAAAGCGCCTTCCAGGAGTGCAGTTCACTGGCTACGTTGTCTATCCCCAACTCGGTGACTTCTATTGGAGCAAAGGCATTTAAGGGGTGCACATCACTGGCATGGTTGACCATTCCCAACTCAGTGACAGCAATCGAGGACTCAGCGTTCGAAGACTGCACTGCATTGACGAGCTTGGCGATCCCCAACTCTGTTGCCTCAATTGGTGTACTTGCCTTCAATAACTGCAAGGCCTTGAAAAGCTTAACGATTCCTTCCTCTGTGATGTTCATGGGAGCTGGGGCCTTCCAAGGCTGCACTTCTTTGAGCAGTTTGACCATTCCTAACTCTCTGGGAGAGATCGCCGCCAGGGCGTTTGCAGGATGTAGTTCATTGACAAGCCTCACAATTCCCAACTCTGTTACGTCAATTGGAAGTTCTGCTTTCCTAGATTGTAAGTCCTTGGAAAGCCTGGCAGTGCCAGAATCCCTGATGTCAATCCAAGCCCGTGCATTTGCGGGGTGCGGTTCATTGACAAGCCTCACAATTCCCAACTCTGTTACGTCAATCGGAAGTTCTGCTTTCCAAGATTGCACGTCCTTGGAAAGCCTGGCAATGCCGGAATCCCTGATGTCAATCCAAGCCCGTGCATTTGCGGGCTGCAGTTCATTGACAAGCCTCACAATCCCAAGCTTAGTGACATCCATTGGGCCCTATGCTTTTGCAGGTGCCAGTTCAGTGGCCAGCTTAACGATGCCCAAGGCGCTGCGCTCGATTTCGGAATTTGCATTTACGAGCTGCTCCAGGTTGACAAGTGTGAAAATTCCCAGGTCTGTGGCACGCATTGGCCCTGGCGCATTCTGCCAATGCACGTCGCTGACAAGCCTCAGCATCCCCAAGCCCGTGACTCTGATTGAAGAGGATACCTTCAAAGGCTGCATTTCAGTGTTTGGTGTGAAAATCCCCAACTCTGTGACATCAATTGGAGCTGGTGCCTTCCAATACTGCAGTTCGTTGACAGATGTGATTCTTCCGGGTTCGCTCAGTTCCGTCGGAGCGAATGCCTTTCAAGGCTGCACTGCATTGACCAGTTTGACCATTTCCTCATCCGTGGTGTCCATGGAGGCTAATGCATTTGCGGGCTGCACGTCGCTCAGGAGCTTGACAGCTCCAAACTTATTCATGTGCAGACCGGACCCGGCCTCTGTCTTCACATACGGCACGTCCTTGGAGAACTTGACAGTTCCATGTGTAACCATTGAAGACTCTGCCTTCAAGGGCTGCAAGTGGTTGAAGCGTCTGACGGTCCCTGACTATGTGATGTCCATTGGAATCAGTGCTTTTGCAGACTGTGTTTGTCTGACAAGTGTGTCCATTCCAAGCTCAGTGACCTCGATCGGAAGCTGCGCCTTTGAAAATTGCCAAACACTGGGAAGCTTGAGCATTTCTGAGTCTGTGACGTCAATTGGAGCCCGTGCGTTTGCTGGTTGCACTTCATTGAGAAGCATCACAATCCCAAACTCCGTGCAGTTCCTTGGACCCTATGCATTTGCAGGCTGCAGTGCGTTGGAGAACGTGCTTCTTCCCAACTCCTTGACGGGAATCGAGGCCTATGCATTTGCAAATTGCAGTTCGCTGGCAAGACTTACAATCCCTAACTCGGTGGTGTCCATTGGAGTTTTTGCTTTTGAAAATTGCAGTTTGTTGAGCAGCTTGGCCGTTGCGGACTCCACTTCAATTGGAACTGGTGCCTTTCGGAACTGCAGGTTGTTGGAAAGGAGGGCTGACTAATGAGATCATGCCAGACAGGATGATTTCACTGAGCGGTGTGAAAAAATTAGTTGCTCGACGCTTCATCGAGAACTAGTAGCAACATGTGAAGCTACGTCCCTTCTTCATACATGTTCCTTCATGGTTTTGATGATTTCAAAGTTCAGATGACACCTCAGGACCCTGCTCAACTGGGCAAAACTGATGTCAGCTGTTTGCCTTCACAGAGTTGGGAGAGTAGATGCATGTAGATGCCCCACTGAGAGGCTCAGGTGCTTTCAGAGTAGATGGCACCAGCTACCCCACGTTTGGTGGTTTATATGGACCCCAATTCAATGTGTGTGCAATCTACTCTGAAACCACTGTTTTTGGATGCTAGACCCCCATATCAAACACCTTTTGGGCGCCATCTAGCCTAAAGCCACTACAGCTGATTGCACGGTTGCCTCCCGATCGTTTCTGGATCCGTGAGCCGGAGCGTGGTGTTGAAGTCGCACATCGGCCGCAATGGCCTTCCGGTGGTTCAACCTGATCCGTTAAGAGAGGTGGTTTCGATGTGATCCTTGGGGAGAGGACATTTGGTCCATTGCCTCTAGGCCTTGTCACACCGGTTTTGCTTGTTGTATTTATATGCATCCGTTTTGCTTCTTGGGGGTGAAAATGGGTTCATCCGACCTGGTCGCCAGACAGTCCAGTATCTTGAAAGAGCATGGTGGCAACTCAGCATGCTAGATGATTAGGACACTTTTTTTTTATCCGGCATTGCGCCCCCGCTCACCGTTGTTCAGTGTGTGTAGAGGGCGTTTACGCGTTTGAGGCATCGCACCGGAACCCCGTCGGAGGGTCGCCCAAACGAGGGTCGATTGGTACGAACGTGTAGTGACATATAAGGCAGACTGGCTGGCCCTTAACGTGTAGTGACATATAGCTGTGATGTGTGTTCCTTCTTCGACCCTTTGGAGGGCAATGATCGACATGGCTCACGTGAATGACCCTTTGGAGGGCAATGCGTCGAAACCTTTGGATCGTTGTGAAACGACTTCTCAACAGTTCAGCAGCTGAGCAGGAAGTCTTAAGCCTCGTCAGCGAGCTCAGCTGGCTTTGCAGAGCTCCGCAGTGGGTAAGGAAGGTAGATATTAGCTAATCATGTAAGATTTGCGATGTTGTGGTTGGTTGTGACATGTTGTAACTATGGCAAACCATTTTTCTCGATAGTGCATCAGAATCAAAACCAATCGTTTGTTGGACTTTGGTGGGTGTTGTTGCTGACCACCAGCTAGCGCCGACTGTCATCGATGCCTGGTGCCTGTTGAGACTGGCGCATGGGGTTTGACCACGCAACTGGATGTTTTTGGATGTCGGCTTCAGGTCCACTTGTGTGAGAGCGTGTGACGGGGGGTATCAAAGTCGTAGAGGTCGTAGAGGTGCATGGAAAGTTCACAAGCTGAGTCACTCACTAAGCAAGGCGCACTTGATCCTCTTCCACATGAATGAGGGATCGCCTGGGTGCTCAGGGCTGCACCAAGGAATCCTAAAGAAATAAGTCGTAACAGTGGCGAAGAGAATTGGTCAATGACCTTTTGCATTAATACATTTTTGAGTATTTGAGTATGGTAGGACTTGGATGGACTTGGTAGGATGCGCTATTTCACGGAACAAATCGTGCATCACTTGCAGTTCGTGGGAACTACTTGGTTTGGCTTGAGGCAGCAAACAGGCTAAAGGTTTTGGCAGCCAGCTCAGGTGCTTCCCCGTAGATGTGGCATTTTCAAATCACCACGTTCCGATGTGGAACGGAAAACTGCCAAGGTCCCTCAACGGTCAAGGCATTCGACGGTCGCATCATTCTGTACGGTCAATGCATTGGTCGTGTTCCTGAAGATCGGTACGTGGTGGAACTTCCAAAGCGTTGACCCAGAAATTCCAGGAACACAAGGAACCTGGTCGTTTTCAGGGGGGCCGCCATCCATTTTGTTTTCACATCCCTCCTTCCAGGCCTTCCAGGGTCCCTCTTTTTGCCTTGGAGACACTCTCCACGATTCTCCGCGTGTTTGCACAAACCCCTTAGCAGCGCCCAGGGGCTGCTTTGCCAGTCCTAGCCTCTCAGTGGACTCTTGCTGTCGTCTCTTGGGCTCGGTTTATGGGCGAAGCGTGGAGCCTTGCGCCTTGCGGAGCCTCGCCTCTTGTGCGGGTTCCCCGGGACATGATCCTTGAGCAATAGAGAGAGTAGAGAGAGGGGCACGAATTAGTATACAGCTCTTTTGATTCCCAAATGGGATCCTTTTGGTGTTTGAACCCTTTTTTGTGTTTTTTCTACCCCACATACTTTGATCCCTCATACAGTGAAGTATGTCGTTGCTTTATCAGCCTCTTATGATAGGGCAGCATTGGGCAGCAATTTGGTTTGACTTACTTTACGATGCATGTCATGCCAACTGCACAAGGAGTTGATTGGTCACTGAGTCATTGCAGGAAAGCAAAGATATTTTGAATTGATGTTTTGTTTAAGCGGCAGTAAACCATAAAAAGCGTTGTGACATCGTCGGTTTTTTCCTTCGCGGCACCCTGTGCCACCAACGCTGCGATCGCTTTTGGAGTCATCCATTTGTTAGCCCAGTGATTGGGCGGACCAGCGATGCCAATGAGGCTCGGGCGCGGTGGGTGGCCACAGCTGCTGGGACCAAGCCTTCTCGGAACAGCTCTGCTGTGGCCGGAGGCTCCCAGCTGAGCGCGGCGTGGCGGCGGCGGCCCACGCAACTATAACGACGGTGTCGTTTCGGCGGTCGGACGCCGGGGAGGTGAGCAAAGAAGAGGTCGGTGCACTTTGCGGTTGTTGATATTCTTGACTGTTCTTGATGTATGTTTGGTGTGAAGAGGTTGCTTGGTGTGTTGGGGGCCATTTTGGACCTATCCAAAGGTGTTTCTCGCAGGCTTGTAGTTTTCTCAAGCGGGCAAAAGCAAATGAGATGAGGGGAGTGGTGTTTTTTTTGGTGTCATGTTCCTTCTCACCTTCGGAAGCATTACTTGGGACATTGAGGAACATATTACAGTGGTTTCAGAGTAGATGGCACAGACCTTAAATGTCCTTTAGATGGTGTTCCATATAAACCACCTCTTGGGGTCTGTGCCATCTACTCTCAATCCACTATACTCATTCACCAGATGCCATTTGGAAGAGAACAGGAAACCGAACCGCAAAACCCACCCATCTTTGTGCACCACCCACTCGCCCACGTCCGTCATCGATGTCGCTGGTGATTTGGTGGTCATTGACCGGAGTCTTCCTGTGTCTTGATGGTGCAAGTTGAGAAGATTTTATGCAGTTTTTAGTGTCCACCACGTCACCGACACATCCACCATGTCACCGACACTCTTTGGGCCAACATGGTGACGAATGACAAGCAGACGAGATGTTGCTTTTCGACCAGCTACGTCGACGTGTCCTTCACTAAGGATTGTGCTGCAGTTGTTGGGTTCCCCTTTGTCCCCCAACAAGCCTGTGGACATTACCTTTCCGCGGACTGCTGAATCCACAATTGAGCTTGTGGATGCCTATGGAGCTGAAGGTCAAAGGGAGTACAACTGGTACGAAGCTAAGCCCACCCGAGCTGCACCCTTTTTCATTTTGGCGGGGCTCATGGCCCATCAGGTATAAACGCAGAATACCTGTCCTTTGTCGTTCAATACACGAGTTTGAAATGTAGCCTCACTTTTAGTAGCAGCCCATCAGCTTAGGAAGCAGTTGACCTCATATTCATTGTGGTCTATGGCACCACTTTGTACCTCTCATTTCAGACGCTGGCCACCAACGCTTACGCCAGATGCACCTTACAGGCGTTGGTGTTCATCACATGTGCAGCGGATTATTTTGAGGACGGAGATGCACTTCTTCTGAACAACGTGATGCCATTCCTATCTGAAGATGTGGTCGCTGAAATCTCGGTGGTTGCCACCGGCACGAAGTTTGCCGGTCTCTTCGTTTGCTTCACGGCCGTGATCATCCTGGCCATCGCAAGCAGATGCAACAAGAATGGATATGATGCTCGTTGAATTCAAGGAGGTCATAGGTATACAGGGTAGTCTAAAGAGTATATAGAAGATTTATAGAAGTGTGCAATGGAAGTCCGCTCATGACTAAATCTCCTCTCCTTTCATTGGACATCAAAGCAAGACCAAGGACGCCTTGCGCAGCTAGCGAGACCACACCCAGAAGAGCCGAGAAGCGACGGCGGCGGCCTTGCGCAGCTGTGTGACGTTTCGGGGGTTCTCCAAGGGAACGACTGCAGCTGCAAAGATGCAGCGACAAACATGTGCGCACAAGTCAGGACGGTAGTTTTCGACGGCCCTTTTTCGAGAACGCTTTCGACTGCCGTTTTCGACTAGGCAGCCTAGTTTTGGATGCGTTTTGGCCAAAACTTCCGCTTGTAATTCGAAGGGCTACGAGGGGATGAGGGAGCTTTTTTCCCTCTGACATATAGGTAGGCGGTATTTAAGGCCATCTCACTTCGCCCGTCCTTCACTGTGCGCCGCATATGGCATATGCGCGGAACATCACTCAATCCCAATGTTGCAGAAAGATCCAATTTTGGGGCCAGATGCTTGAGATGCCAAGAGCAGACCCCCTCTATCCTCTCACCATGTCCTTTTAATGGCGCTTGATGTGTCCACGTCGTGGACGTGCGAAAGGAGCCGATTAAAGCATTGGCTGCTCGCCACGCTGGAACATTCAGTGTTGAAAAATGCTTGCAAAGTACTCTCCTTACAACAAACCTTGGAAGACTTCTTCAATATCTTTGAATACAGGTTTGTCCACTTCCATGTTTTGTTGGAGAGAGGGTAGGCACTTGCAAGGGAAAGCTTTGCCACTTGATTCTGCGGAAGAGTGTGACACCGCTGACTTGACACTGCCCGGCAACGCTAACCATGCACCAGGTTTCAGTATGTTTCCGTTGATGCAGCTGTCCCTGGTGTTTTGGCTAAGTGGCTTCAGCGCTGCAAAATGGCCCCTGAACCTGAAGGCCCTTTCACCCTCGTCAACGCTGGACCTGTAGTTCCGCAGTGTTCGGCGGTCTCGCCGGTGGGACATGCGAGACGCGTAGGTCCCATGACGTGCGGCTCGCAGGTTCTTCACGAGACATGCTGGACATGGGGTTTGCGGATGCTAGCGGAGTAGAGATTGCAATAGAAGCAGCACAGGCTGGGACAAGAATCCGGCGTGCAACATTGACACCAGTGACAACTCAGTGACAAGCGTTTCCGGAGTGCAACTGCTCAAAACACCTCGAGATCTGTAAGAACGAAAGTACCTAGCTAAGCATTACCAACTCCTCGGATATGCTTGGCGCTTCCATGATTGTAGCTGCTTCTTTGCAACTGATTGGGCTGGCTCAGCTTCCTGTGGTGGAAGGATCTTGGTGCCAGGCTTCATCCTTTGGCAGCTGCCTTGGGCAGCGCCACGATTTTGAGAAAAAGGATTTGCCCCGCTTGCATGGGGGTCGCTACCGGAACCTGCGTTTTGCGGACTGGGATGGTGATGGTGACACCGATGTGTTGGCAGGGCATGGCCCAGGCGAGTCAATCTGGTTTCATGAGCGGCTGTCAAACGACAGCTTCCGTTCGCATGAGCTGGGCAAGATTCCCAAGAGATGGCATGCAGAAGCTTGGGACTAATCAGGTGTGTGAAAACTTGTTCTAGCGTGTGAAATGTTGAATGCCGAGAGGCTCAGCAGAGAACATGTTGGACATTCTTACAATTCGGCGCGGGTTTTGGTCACACCCCGGTCCTGAGGAAAGTGCAACTGTAGCTGAAGGTGATGATTGGCTGGCACAACAGCAGTTGGCGGTTGATGAGTTTATGAAGAACACCTTTCGTGTGGAAGTGGCGGATTGGGACGGCAATAAGGAGCCTGATTGTTGGGGTGTGTGGGTGTTTGTTGGAGGATGAGGATGGTGTTTGGCAGTGCGACTTCTGGTTGTAAAGGTTTTTGCATGGTTTTACACACTTCTAAGCCCGGATCCATGAGTAAAAGTTACCTTGTTGTTGCTGTAAATCTTGGTGAACTACAGAAGTGCAAACGGGCCCTGTTGGTTTTCTCCGTTCTGGGACTTTTTCTCATCCAAGTCGGTGGGTGACGGTGTCACTTCTTGCTTCATGGGAATTGGGTCCTGCTGGGCGTTACGCTTGGATCCTAAGCCCAGCATTCGCATTCCTACACCCCACACGGACACCTTCACCTTCAGGAGCATCCTACACTGAGGGCAGGTCCGACCATTTGGGGGGGCAAATAGGAAAACCCTCCGGTTTTTTTTGGCGAAGTAGGTTCCCTCTACAAGAGTCCACGCCTCCGCTGGGTTTCTGGAAGAAAGGGGTCGAAAACAGAGGGATGTTTGATGTCAGACATGTTTGCTTTCAGATGTTTTCAGTGTAGAGCCGCGCCTTTCAGCAGCCGCGATGTTTGAGGAACTCGACTTGCTGCTGTGCACCATGGTGGACGATCTAGTGATCGTGAGCGTGCTCAATCGCTCGAGCCTTCCGCATGAAAACCTCACGGAAGTTGAGCGCGTGATTCTGTTGACTCATGGGTCAGCATGTGACATGCTGGCCGTGGATTTTGATGATGATGGTGATGTGGATCTCATTCTTGGTCATCATGCGTATCAACCGAGATATTCCAGATACTTTGAGCGCATCTCTTCCGGGCAATTAGTTGAGCGCACGGGAGATCAGAATCCACTTGACATGTTCAACGACACGATACGAACCATCGCCGATCTTGACGGTGATGGACAGTTGGAAGTGATGACCACCGGTTGGGTGGACAAAGGCTATGCCATTCAAGTGATTCATTTCGGCTACTTTCATCGTACAAGTGACGGTAGCTTTGTGGAATCAGCTGAGAACCCATTGTTTGACCTCAACCTTTGGGATCCAGATGAATATGCCACAGAAGCTCATGTGGCAGATTGGAATTCAGATGGTTTGCCAGACCTTTTGACCATACATGTGGGCCGCTACCTTCCGCAACGATCTTACGGTTTGGCGGACTGCTATGAACATGTTCAAGACCGCGACCTTGTGCAGAATTCGCAGATCGACACCTATAGAGACATTAAACTGGCATCCTTTGGAAAATCCATGCATCCTGTGGTGGTTGACTGGAATCACGATGGTTTTGAAGATGTGGTGGTCGTGGACTATGTGCTGGGCTGGGGGGAGGGGGAGATCGTGTCGAAACAGCCGAAACTCTTTGAGTTCCATGGTGACAGTGTGCACGAAGTAAGCGGTGTCTTTGACAATGTTACAGAGAGCTTCTGGGCGGTAGTTCGGACTATGTTTTTGTTTCCATCTCTTCGTGTCCCTAGATCAGTATACGAACGATCGGTACTAGTTCTGAATGTTTCTTCCAATCGACTGTGTTGTTCAAATGGTGACCGTGTGCACCCGCACCCAGGCTTTCTCGGTGAAGAGATGGTGAGCCTAGCCATTGCAGACTGGGACACCGACGGCGATTTAGATCTCATCATATCCTCGACAGATGGCAAGCTGCACTATCATGAGATGGTCTTGGGAGGTTGGCAGAAAGAAGATCCAGACCATCCCTTCAAGAGCATCGTGCTGGGCCAAGAGGAAGGAGGTCAGAAGAAGTTGGTTCAGCCTTTGGTGCTTGATTGGGACAATGATGGTGACATGGATTTGTTCTTGGGTCCGCCGGATGGTAGATATTTTGAGCAGCTGGCAGATGGTACTCTTCATGCATGGCCGCTAGAGCAAAGCCCTGTTCGGAAAGTGCTCAGTCTTCCGAGATTTGAGGACCGGGTGTGGAGATTTGTGGACTGCGATGCCGATGGTGATTTTGATTTGATCCGAGTGCTGTTGGACGACTATGTTCCTGTCAAAGCATGTGAGCATGACAGCGCACATGAGCTGCAATGTGACCATGACTTTCCGTGCTTGGGGACGAATCTCAGCCATTTCAATAGGACAGCAGGGGGTCCTCTTGAGCACCTCTCGCTAATCTCGCTAGACTTGGGGCTTTTGACAGATGGCTGGCTCAAATTCATCACCTGGCACTTCGGTCGCGGGTTGTTGATGTGGAGTGCAGGCTTTTGCTCTCCAGCCGACTCATGCCACCAGGGAGGCTATTGCTTTCCCAGGAAGACACATTGTAGCTGCAGCGCCGGTCGCGAGCTAGGCGATTGTTCTGGCTGCGAGCCGCAGTTCTACAGTGTTCCAACGGTGATTGGGCAGATGCATGACTGCAAAGCATGCCCAGGAGAAGGTGACAAGGTTTGTTCTGGTCGAGGAAGCTGCTTTGATGATGAAACTGCGAAGGCAGCTCCTTTGGAGTCCACAGCTGCTTCAATGGCCAAAGGAAACGGATCCTGCAGTTGCAACGAGGCCCACTTCTTTGGAAGTGATGATGAAGGCCGAAGCACCTGCGTGGAGGGCGTGTGCCCAGCTGGCACCGAAGAGCAGGATGGACATTGTCGCGCTTGTGCAGCAGGGTCCTTCTCCCCAGCAGGAGGGCTTTGCAAGCTTTGCTTTCCAGGGACCTTCTCGTTGCCTGGAAGCGGCCACTGCTCGAGGTGTGCACCAGGCTCGGTCTCCAAAACATCCGGGGCTTCAGGCTGTGATGCATGTCCGGCAGGCACATATGAGGTTGATCATCAATTGTGCAACAAGTGCCCTACAGGCTTCGTTTCAGCAACAGGTCAGAGCTCATGCGCCAAATGTGACGCCGGCTTGCATGCACCAAAAGCAGGCAGTATCCTTTGTGAGCCCTGCAAAGCTGGCACTTATGCAGGTGAAGCCAGTCGGAAATGCAGTGCGTGCCCTCCAGGTTCGGTGTCCGGTGCAGCTCAAGGTGCTTGCAGCCTTTGTGAGGCGGGCCGTTTTGCCAGAGCCTCCGTCACATGTGACCAGTGTCCTGCTGGAAGCTGGTCCGGCGCAGGAACCATTGAATGCCGAAGCTGTATTCCAGGAACGTTTTCGTTGACAGGAAGCAGCAACTGTTCCCATTGTTTACCAGGAAGCGTCTCAACTGCAGGGGCTCTCACTTGTGATGTTTGTCCTGCAGGGAAGTACGAAGTCAATCATCAGTTGTGCAGTGTTTGTCCATTGGGCACAATCTCAACTGGAGGAAGTGACGCATGCAGCCAGTGCGAGGCTGGTCGGTTTGCCAAATCGTCCCAAACCTGTGAACCGTGCCCTGGCGGGACCTTTGCAAACAAAGGGAGTAGTTCGTGCAGCTCCTGTCCGGTGGATCATGTGTCAAGCCCAAACAGTGCCGCGTGCACCAGCTGCGAGAGCCTCTTCATCCGCACCAGTCCTGATGTGATGAAACAAAGCTGCCAAGTGCGTAGCATGGAGATTCTGCTGGCTCTCATTTGTTGGGTCACATCCTCATGTTTTTGCCTCCTGTGTTGGACCGGTGTTCTTGGCCGAATTCCACTGTCCGATTTGTCAGCTCAAGGGCAGAAGCTTGTGGTCACCACTTCTGTGGCACATTTTCTCTTGGATTGGGCACGCCCAGTGGTGACTTTCTCGGGCACGGGAGTTCCTCACTTGGACGAATCGACAGGTCCTTGGACCGTGCAAGCCTTGAATCTATATCAGGTGAGCCTTCAGGGCAGTACGTCGAGTAGTACGTCGCTGGACACGTCAACTGGGCATTTGCATCTGAAGTTCCCACAAGTTTTGCTGTCAGTAGGTCTATGGCGCTGTCCCCTTCTTTGGTGGTGCATACTTTTTCTCGCAGCAGCTGCAGGCACTGCCACCCAGCTTACTTGGCAGCTTACGTTGCTGGTGTGCGGACTAGGCTTCGGCACAGGCTCATTGTGTATGGTCTTGCGGCGCAGGCGAGAGTTCGGAGTCCGACCATGGCCCCTTCCTCATCACGCATGTTTGTGAAATGATCACAAATTGGAGCGCCTAGATAAGAGGAGGATTAGATGAGACTTCTTTGAAGTTCATTGAAGTGACGAAACTTCTTTGAAGCCCATAAGCTGTGCCCAACACGTATGCATATGTTGGCTTTGCAGTGTTTAGGGAGCATCCACTGAAGATATCTTACATATGCTATATTATTATGCTACCATGTGCAAAAACACAAAAAACATGGGGCACGAACACGCATGTGTTCTTATGCAGCGATGCAACAGGTCGGATGCGTGCGTGCATGTTCATATGTCAAGACGCGCTCGTGTTTGAAGATGCTGAATTGAAAGCCGTGTATTCATCTAACTGGACCTTTGATGACCTTTGAGTGTGTTTTTAACTATTTTGGTGTTTTACGTTTGCCATAGCAAGTGCTTTTATTGCATTGAATTGCGTTCCACGTGCCCCCATTGACCAAGAAAAACGTAGTTCTTAGCGGTTTCTGGGGCCAAGGAAATCCAAACAAAACATCGGTTTCGCTCCACATGCCTTGCAACAAATCCAACCTTTGAACTGACGGAAACGCTGGAAGGCAAGGCAAACGCACGCCTTTGGCGACCCGGCGGCGGCACTTTCTCAAGGAGTGGCCCTTGGTGTTGGAGCGCTGTAGCCGTGGTGAGGAGCGTGCGATGACCGCAGGGACGCTGCTAGACTTTGTGCAGTGGCGTGGAGGAGCAGCGAGGAAGTCGTTTTGAGTTTTGGTGGTTTGACGTGGCGCTCGTCCACCCTGACATAGATGAGGAATGGTCAAAGGTCAAGATTCACGTGATGGTAATTTGGGGCAGGCTTATGGCAGTGTTTTCTTTCGAGCATGGAAAAGAGCCCCTCACCCCCCCATGTGAGTCACCATGTTGGAATCCTTCATGATGTTCGCACCCGGAAGGGGCCATTAATTCAAAATCCACCTGAGACATCGTATCTCGAATTGATATCCAGATGCTTGGCGGAGCTGTAGGGTAGCGGAATAGGTGATTCATTGGTGTGCCATCTCCGGCAACTCTCTTGCAGGTTCTTCGAAAGCTTTATCAGGGAGCGTTCCATGTACTACGTTTGCTCAAACATTGTGAAGCCCCTCACCGAACCATATCAGCTTTCTCTCGTGGAACTGGTAGGTCCAACGATGATCCAATGGTTTGTGAGTCATTACTGGGGCATGCCCGTTCGTCATTTCAGTGATGCCATACGCAAGCACGCCCAGAGCTACCACGGAGACTGGCGAGACGCAGCTTATTGGATTTGCACCTTCAGTAACAGCCAGTGGCATGTCAAGGAGGAGCTTGGGCATGGACGATGGCAGGATTCATCCTTTTACCTCGCATTGAGATCTCCAGAATGCAAAGGTACTACCATGATTATTGATGAGCTGGTTTTGCCTCTACAGTGGCCTAGTTTTGCTTAGGGCAATGTTTTATGCTCGCCGTGGGTGAACCCCTGTTTTGGGAAATACTTGAGTTGTGTGTTTTCCATGTGAGTCCCTGCTTAAGCAAATCCCAGGCGGATTTGGTGCCTTTTTGAGGTCTACCAAACCATTTGCCTGACTCGAAGCAGCCACTTTCATGGTTTGCTTCTTTGCACTTCCTCGGGTGTCTTGCAACAGGGCAAAGCCGGCACTGATGTTGCTGTGGCCGTCGCCCAGACCGTTGCGACACTCGACACTCGAAGTGCTGTAGCATCGGCAGAGGAAGATCGGCAGATGATCCATTCCCTGATTGAGCAAATGCCAGGACTTGGATGGGGCCTGAGTTTGTGACCAACGGTAGTTTTGGGGAGCCGTTTTGGTTCACGCGGGGGGCAGGGTGAACCCCTTTGCAACTGGAAAGAGGAGGACTGCACCCTGAGTGTGCAACAAAGAAAAAGAAAGGACGGGTAAGTATCATAGTAAAAGTCAAGGGGAAGCCGGGCAAGAACGAAAGGAAGGAAAGGAACGCAAGGTTAGGGAACAGAAGCACCAGAAAGGATAAGAACGGAAAAGGCAGGGACAAGAAAAGACAAACATAAGTGAAGGCAAACCTTTGAAGGAAGGACAGTACCTAACAGATGCTAGAATGAAGCAAGCAGCAAGGGAAGGAAAAAGGAAGAGGCACCAAAAGGAAATGAATAAGCCTTACCCATTATTGAAAAATGACAGCCTCAAAACGAATAAACAAGAAATGCCAACAAAGAACAGGACAGGAGCCTCTCTCCCCTTTGTTCCTCTCTCGTTTGCTTTTTCTTCTCTCCTCTCCCCCAAGCCCAGCGCCCACCATGCTAGAGGAAAACACGCAAGACTGTTTGTACCTAGAGTGCCACTTGGGAATAGGTGCAGAAGACAAAATTCCATGGAGTGTTGCTGGCAGGAGGTTTTGACACAATGAACACCTTTGTATGCGATACAATTTGCAATGCATTGGAAGCATCCCACTTGCACTACGAAGCTTGGTTTTCTTGATTGGTTGATGCTCCCCAAGCTGGTGAACCCCTAAATCTACGGAAGATGGACTCTAAAATCACATTGTGTTTTTTCATATTGTTTAAAGTTTACGTGTCGTTTCTAGGTTCTTGAGTCACAAATCTAAGGAAAGCACACTCAAGAACTTGATGCAGAACTTGAGGTTGCGGGTTGCTCCTACCTCCTCAGTTTCCTCGCCACCAGTGGCGTTTTTGCCGACACTTCTCACCAGTGGTGCTAGCAGTGCCAAACTGCCAGCAAGTAAGGAGGGTAAGGAAGGTACCAGCTAGCAATTGGCATAGCCAAAATGCTGCAAGAATATCATAGAAATACTATGAAATACTTATGTCTTATGTAGATGTCCGATTCATCCGCACAATCATCGACGATGCAGATGCAGCTCCAGGACACTTGAGTCCAGAGCTGCAAGATGTGCCATATTTGAGTTGCATCACACGAATGCACTCCAATCCCTTTCAGTGCAACCATATGCATCGCTTGCGTCGCCTGTTGTATAGTGAATTGGGCTTGCTTTCGACCGGCCGCCCTCCGCCGCCGTGTTCGCCTTGAAGTCCGAACGCTATAGAGTAGGACAAGGAAGCTGAGCACGCAAGCTTAGGCGTGGGTCCTGTTTGTGTTTTGTTCGTGAGCCTGGTCACTGATCGCACCTGTTTTGGGGGAGGCCTCGGTTTCCGGTGGGTTCTTGATTGGAAAGGCAGCAGCTTGAGATGAAAGGATCGGCCCAAGACCATTTTGGTGAGTGCTGCAGGTACAAGTTCAAGAAGTTCAATTTAGTTGGGGTGTCACCGTGTCAAGTCTAACAGACGACCTGTGACTTCCATCGCCAAGGCCAGATCTCGCCTTTGGCGGCCAAGGCCAATCTGCAGTCGGGGGTCTCGACCTGCGGGACGCTGCGTGGACGCTGGACGCTGGCGGCCGGGGGGGGAGGTGGCTGCTTTTGGGTGGGATGGAATGGGATCCTCATGATGTGGGTCACTGTGACAGTGGAGTTCGGCAATCTTCCCAAGAGGACATGACAGAAGGTCGGATCAGGATAGACCAGGTGCTTAAAAAGAACGGGGGTTTGACATTTGTGGAATCATGCAGCTATGGCAAATCGATGGCAGGTGCTGAACGGATTCGGTAGTAGGGACTGGATCGGACTGGCCAGCATTCAGGATTCGAGACCTACTCACCATACCATTTGAGCATCTAACTACTGAAGATTCCAGTCCACTTGATTCCACACTGTCAGCTTTACAGCTTTGCCAGCCGTTTTGGAGTTGATGAAGCTGTGTCCTTCGCAGGGTTCATGGGCACCCGGACCCTGGCAGCACCCGCACCCGGACCCGCGCGGCACCGATGGGTGGGGCGCGCCGCTCGTACGGAGCGTTTTGGACGGCGGATGGATGGAATGAGGCCGGATGGCTGTTGGTTCGGCAAATACACCTACGAAAGGTGTTGCAGCAGCCCGGAGGCGTGGAACCTGTTCGACGAAGAAGGTGTGGAACTTGTCTTCTCTCGAGTGAGAGATATCTCCGAGTCGTGAGTCATCCGAGATGAGTTGCTCCAAATTCCGGCGGGACTCGACTACTTGGGGGTGACCAGCCAAAAGGGATGAAAAAGGAGATCGAACAAGTTTAGGACGAAGGCAAGTCGGAGTTGGAGTTATTTATCGGAGTTTTGAGAGCTCAGTGTCGACTGAGACCCCATGTTCTATTCGTTGGAGTTAAATGGGTATGTCTGAGAACGGGCACCTTGGACTTTTCGGACTTCTCTTTCAGAGGCCTGTATAGTTTTGGCAAACCCACGGGAATATTCACTAGGAAATGGGGGACCCCCTATAATTGCAACCCCAGCTTCCTTTGGAACTCACCAGTGGATGTTTTTCCATGTTGTTGCATGTTGTTGGGCCTGTAGTTCTTGTTTTGCACTTTTCCATCTCCTGAGTTTGGAGCAGTGAGTTTGAGGAGTTTGGAGTGGGATGGAGTGTTTTTTTGTTGGGGCAAGTGAGTGCTAAAACCCCGGACCGGCCAAGCAATGCCTGGCTTGGAGAATTCAGCCAGACCACCTCAGAAGTTTCCGCTAGTGGCCGATGGGAAGGATTTGGTACAACCCTATGCATGTATAGACATCCCCGAGCTCCATGTGACGCTGCAGTTGGCCATCTAAGGGGATGACGGGACTCGTTTGGTTGATCCACCAAGTTGACTCACCTGTCGAAGCACCAAGAACTGAACCCAGACCTGGTGTGTTTAGGATGGTTTAGGCGATTTGGGCATGCTGGAGGTGGTCTTATCATGTCTTATCCATCAGATGGATGGACCCATTTGCACCACCTGGACTCCCGCCTCTTCAGAACATCTTCCGGTCACCAACGAACTTCAGATCCCAGCATGATCCTCTTTTAGTTGCTATGACCCCCACACAAGTGTATATGAGCAACCTGATTTATTTACGGAAAGCTATTTAGTAAAGGACCCGACATTGGGATTGCAGAATTTGCATTTTACTTGGAAAACGATAATACACTCATCAAAAAACGATAACATATTGAATCATATTGATAGCATCATGTTTAATTATAGGAAAGCTTAGTTTGCATAGCTGCAGTGCAGCTTTTTAACCATGAAGACCATCAGGGAACCTCGTTTCTGCTTAGTGTAGCCTTTCCCAAACCGTTTTTGACTTCGGACTTTGGCGACAGGTTTGTCCGAAATGTAGCTGTAGTCAAACGATAACCTAAACGATAACCAAACGATAACGTAAATGTAGACGAACCTGTGCTACGAAACCAGTGCCCCACCCAAACAAGCTCAAGACATGGCTGGTCTACTACTACTGCTGCTGCTGCTACTACTACTGCTTCTACTACTACTACTACTGCTACTACTGCTACTCCTACTCCTACTCCTACTACTACTACTACTACTACTAACTACTACTAACTACTACTAACTACTACTAACTACTACTAACTACTACTAACTACTACTAACTACTACTACTACTCCTACTACTACTACTACTACTACAACAACAACTACTACTACTACTAACTACTACTAACTACTACTAACTAATACTACTACTACTACTACTCTACTACTACTTCTTCTACTACTACTACTTCTACTACTACTACTTCTACTACTACTACTTCTACTACTACTACTACTTCTACTACTACTTACTACTTCTACTTCTACTAGTACTGCCACTACTACTGCTGCTGCTGCTGCTACCAGTACCACTACCACTACCACCACCACCACCACCACCACAACCACAACCACAACCACAACCACAACCACGACGACGACTACTACTGCTAGTACTGCTCCTCCTCGTCCTGCTGCTGCTGCTGCCGCCACTGCGACTGCCATTGCTACTGCTACTGCTCCTACTGCCACTACCACTACTGCTGCTACTGCTGCTACTAGTACTACTAGTACCACTACTATTGGTACTACGACTACTACCACTACTACTGCCACTAGTACTACCACTACTACTGCCACTAGTACTACTAGTGCTACTAGTACTA